GAACTGTAATATATTGATGCTTATGTTTGATGTGATACTTTTGCAAACAATTCTTTTATGCAGCCGCCTAGATATATGGCTCAAGTAGGTCATTTCAATGTAGTCATACAGTTAAAAATATAATAAAAATACAACTTGAAAAGAAATGAAAAATGTTACTGAGGAAGGAATTATGAGGAAGCAATACATAGTCAAAAATTACTTGTGATTTCACAAAGTCAAATGTAGAAGTCACGTCAATAATTAAGATACTTTTGCTGTATAATTCAGGACGTGGGGAGGACAGGGGGGTGTAGGCCTCTCAAGCATTATTCTTTCTTTCCCTGTTTATAGATTCTTCTCTTTTCTAAATGATTCATACACGGGAACAGGAATCTCCCAGCAAAACTTTAGAAACCTTTATAGGTCAGGGTGTGGACATTGTGAAATGTTTTACCAGCTCTTCTACCTATTCTCTCTGCCTCCATAATGGCATGCAAACAGAGTTTTTAGCAGTGTTATAAATGCTATATTTTCTTTTCTTCTCTTTCTGAAATGACTTCATTAAGTTTGCATCTGTATTAACAAGGCAGACAGAAAGCAAAAATGTTGCATTCTGCAGAAATGTCTTGTTCATAAATAAGAAAGAAACCTGCCAATGTGTGGCCACATCACCAGAAAGAATGTGTGATTAATAGCACAAACCATTACTGCATTACCTCATTGCAAACTTCTTCCACAGGATCAACAATTCACTTACCAAAGCTGCATATTGTAATATACCTTAATAAGTTTTAACATTTCTACAAGTGAAATGAGCTATGACTCATTCACATTCTGGAGTGTGTTCAAGTCTGTTATAAATCACGTTGGAGGATTATTTAGTGCAGGACTTCCTTAAATGGCAGGTGAAACTACAAGAAGTGATTTGTGAATGCTGATGGTTTCAGCCTCCTTTTACAGACTGTGAGTTCCTGTGCCTTGTTAGTTTGCAAAAGTGTGGTTACATCATTCGCTTAGACTTAGAAATGACATTCTCTCTTACTGATACTTTTTGGCTATCCTATTCCATTTATGGGAAATACACTTTGAGTGTGTTATTTTTTTATGACGCTTCAGATCTTTAAACTTGCAGTTTCTTTGGGCCTGGGTCAGTCACTTCGTTGATGTTGAAACAGCACTTTTGTGTGTATTTAATACTGAAGTAGAATAAATATCAGCTAGCAGAGTTCAATCAGTTTTAATACAATGAATTAACAAAATATTTTTTCAAGCAATGCAGTATCACAGTCCTGAAGATTTCCTTTCCTTCAAGACACTGATCTGAGACTAAGAGAAAGAAACACATATGCCATATCTTTTTTAAAGTTTCCCAAATACTACAAAACCTCCAAAGACACCCAGGCATAGTGTTCTGTACAGGACTAATTTTAGTAGGGCTGTTGGCACATGTAAATTAAAGAACATTAGCAAAGTATGTGCAGGGTGTTGACCAGCAGTGCACACTTGAAATGAATCAATCAAATGATGCATCTTCAGTGCAATCAGATACAGAAGGGATTGCTCTAACTAGAGAGCGGCTCTTCGCGGAAGGTGTATTATCTAATAGCTGGGGTAAGTAGAAGCTGTGAAGTGATGAATTCTAATATAGTCGCTATCAGTGACTTTCTTTGCAGCCTTCAGCAAGTTGTGTCATCTCTTTTTCCAGTTTCTCAAACAATAAAATGGGAATGGTAATACTACTCCCATTCCTTATCTCCCTAACTTCATCTCTCAGTGTGTTGTGACAATGTAATGTTAACAGCGCATGCAAGTGGTAAATATCAGTATCATGTTTTATTATTTAGGGTGCAGACCTACCCTAAATACATTTAGAAATGCATAGCTTATCTACCAGAACACAAATTCAGAAATAATGGGTAACCACTAGATATAGGGCAACACATGGCCAGTGACACAGTATCATAAGCTGTTTAACAAAAAGGAAATCTGCAGTTACACATAATATTCTAAAGCCATGAAAAATTCTCCAGCAATAAGCAATTTTTGCCATAGAATAGTTGCTTTCATTTAGAAAACAGAATGTATTGTAACTAATGTTTATATGCTTAAGAACTAATGGGTTTACTTCACTTATTAGAAGACAGCAACTTGAGTGGATGTGTTAGAGCCATCCATGTGTGATGATGTTAGTAAATGGAGTGAACTATGAGGTCAGTGTTGTGAGCTGTACTGGTCTGACTATTACAGAATTCAATGACACAGTTGTAAGAGAAGGTTAAAATCATCAGAGGAGTGGAGTGGAATGGTTATTTTCTACGTCTTAGCCAGTATCTTTTGGACCATAGCCGAGCGTAACATGGGAATGCAGGGAGTGCATCTCTCGCCTCTGCGTGAGAGGACACTAGGACACGAGTGGAGCCAATGCATTGCTCAAGAATGTGAAGTAAGAACAGGCGTGTTCTCTAAAACACTTCAATTATTCATTTTTCCTTCTTCTTTCCTTGTAGTTTAGCACAATCAAAACCTAGCACAAAGCACAGATACTTTGACTTAGAAATAAGGGTCTACTTAGAAGTTTTTATAATTATTTGTATCACAGCAATGCATTTATGCTCTCTGAACTTGATAAATTAATATAGCTTTAAATAAACATAGCAAATTGTTCAAGAAAACCTACGCACATTTTGTTCAGATGCTACAAACACCAGGTCTGGCTTGTTGGATCTGGTAAGCCATAGGGAAGGACATCGTTAATTAGCCAAGAGTTACTAATCCTGTAGTACAAGTTTTGCCCAATTTAAAGAACCCATTAGGTAATCCATTCAATGCTTTTGGGGTCTCTTTGTGCAACAAGGGTGGAGAGCTGGGGAGTGGGGGGCAAAGGCGAATCATAAACTGGTCCTAACATGCCAGTACTAAAACATTGTATCATAGAGATGGACGTTATTTACTATAAATCTGCATTTTCTTTGAAATTTCCACTTTCTTTTGCGAGCCTTGTTTCAAAGCAAAGCAGGTAACAAGAATCCTTTGTGGAAGTCCCTTATGAGTAGGTATGAAAGAGTACAATGACAATTTCGCTCATAAATATGAGACTGCCCTTAACACACTGTTTTATATGCCGACGTTGACTTTGGAATGCAAATCCGTATAGACACTCATTATGCTCCATTTTGTCTTTCTTCGTTCTGCTTTACAGTCTTCCTCATCTAAATAGTCCTAATAATATTTCTCTTTTTCTTGCTCAGTTTTTAGCTTTGCATATCACCAGAAATTTTCCTAGTGCTGTTAGGGTCTCCTGCTGAGTCGGTGATTGGGCTGGTGTGAGAAAGGAGAAACAGCTTGGATTTGGCTAAAGAACTTGGGCTTCTCCCCTTACATTATTTTGCATTGCATATACCAGTCTACCCTGACTACAGAACCCACCAACAAAAACAATTAACATTAATATGAAAGCAAATAACTGAAATGTTTTTTTGAATTAAATGGGTCACTGAGAAAGAATGAATGTAGAAAAGTACTTACAAGCTTTGAAGGAAAATGTGTAAAGACAGTTAAAAAAAATTTCTCTAAAGCCGAAGAATAAAGTAACTACTAGGGTAACTACTTTAGTGAAGTGTACTTTACAACAGTCCTACTAATAATGTTGTTTTAAACACTGACATTGAAAAGTTGTATATAGGGAAGTCTAATAGTTTTGCTTATGTAACTTGTGTCACATCTTTTCTCCTTTTTTGTGTCCTTCCAGTTTTATACCTCCTGAAACAAGGAGGCTTTTGCAGTCTTGACCTGTATCAGTAACTTTGCCACTTTGGGCTGGTGCTTATGTAAGAAAAAGCAAAACTGGAAATTCCAACAAACAAAACAAGTAATGGAAAAGAATTTATTGGCTGCAGTGAGGTATATGATGAGATACATAAGACCAGGAGAAAAGTTGAGAGATTATTCACTTTAAATTGTAGGAATCACAGATGGAGACTCATGCCCCAGTGAGATGTGCATAATACATATATTACCAGCTCAGGCAGTCATTTTCCTTGAATAGCTTTTCTTTGGCGTTTTGATGACTAAAAGCTCTTTAAATTAACAATATCAGCTATACCTAGCTCTGTATGGCACTTTTCATTATTAGGCTGCAAATCATTTTAGGAGAGAGTTCACTATGGTATCCCTCTTTTAAACACAGGGACACCAACGTACAGCGTGTAGTAGCACAGAAGGGTTGTCAGAGCTTAGCCCGCTAGGAAAGCCAGTAGTTAGCAGAACGTTTTACTTCATGCTTGCTGGTGGATCTCGTTGATGGTGGAGTATACCACCTGCCCATTCACACTGTCATGGACAATAGCTTTGATCTTTCGATTGCTCAGCCCAGCATGTTCTGAAAGAAAAAGTTAATTAGACAAGAAGGAATGCTGAGACAAGATGATGCAGGGAAAGCTTCATTTACAGTAATTTACCAGCTACCTCCTCAACTGATTTATCTTTACATGTTTCCCTTTAAGCCAATACTTATTATTGCTTTTTGTGAAATGTACCACCAGAAGTCACCCTGAGTCTTGTCCAGGTCAGGGCAAATGAGTAATACAGCTACATCCCAGCCAATGCAAATCTCACTTCAGAGCAGATTATCCTAAATGTCTGTAGGTCATGCTCATGCCAGAATATGAGTTTCCAGACATGCAGATTTTCTGTTTGCTCTCAAGCCCTAACACTGCTTTAGTCACCAAATGGAGTCTCTATGCCTCCTCATATAACATGAAAGCATTAGTCTTGAGTCTGAGCTTTGGACAACGTGTTTGACTGACAGAGGTCAGTCTGAAGACAGTCCATGAGCGGGCAGACACAGCAGAATGTGCTCTGAAGTGCAGCCCTTCACAAGACTGATGAATCACTGAAATTATTCTCAAATATGGCCTACATGAGAATTAACTGCCATGCAAACCTTTCATAGTTCATTCATGTAAGGTTAAAATTAGTCTGAGTAAAATTTGATTGGAAACGGCAATAATTAAGAGTCACTATAGAGAACAAAATAAGGGACTTTTACCTTTGGCTTTTGATTCAGATTTTCTTGCTATCCTGTAAAGATAACAAAACAGGAAAAAAATAATGATTATACTAATTTCAAGAAGTTATTCACCCCCTTCTTCTCACTGATTCTAAGGAGACCTGATACCACTATGAAAAAAGATAAAATTTAAAAACAAAAATCAGAAAGAAGGATGGCTTTATATCACGAGAACTCTTCCTCTTCGGTAGTCTTAGGTACAGATACTCTCACCTGAAACTGTTCTTGTGTACATTCATTATTGCTTCTACTGTCCTGAGTTGCTCAAGTTGATCCCATTTTGTCTTCTGACAAATAACCCAATCTTGGTGCCATACTATCCTGCTTCCCTGAGATTCTCAGTTATAAAGGCTGCTAAACTTCCCTTTCTGATTTTGTATAAGACATACTCTGTATATAAGATGAGAGAATAAAGAATAGAGGCCCAAAGATTTCTGAATGCAGAGATTTCAGACAAGGCATAATGGGGAAACGACACAGCCCATCGGCAGCAGGGCATACTGTACAGGTTTTGTGTGCTGGTATTTGTAACTGCAGATGGCTGACCAAAAAAGACATAAACTTGTCTCCAGGCTTCTTTTGATCTAGAACTTGTTTTGAAGGTAGGAAATGACTATGAATTTTACTGAAATTGCCATTTTTTCCTACGCTGAGATAGGCACGCTGTGGGGATGTAGAAATTTTTTTTTTAATAAAAGTTATATTAATTTATGTAATCCAAATTACATGGATAGAAGTTTCTCTGTATGCTAAGTGGCTCAAGCTTTATATTATGATCCATCACATTAAATTGCCAACCCTTGATGTAGTATGTAGCTCACAAGCTTTGATTAAGCATAAACAAACAAACAAACAAACGAATAACCCAAATATGAGAACTCTCTTCTCATCTGTTCCAGTCGGGGCAGCTTTGCCTTACCCGTCAACATTCCCTTCTAGCAGCAGGCGATAAGTGGAAATTTCCTTCTCCAGGCGAGTTTTGATCCCAAGAAGAACCTTGTATTGGTTATTTTGCCGCTTAATGTCGTGACGAACCTGGCTTAGCTCTTCCTCACATTTGGAGATGATCTGCTGCATGTTTTGAAGTGCAAGAGCATAGTAATTCCGAGTCTCAGCCAAGGTGTCTTCCAGCATGTGTTTCTGACAGAGCGATAATACCAATACTATGATTATTATTTATGTGGTATATATAATGCAGAAATGCCAGCAAATTTGGTCTCTAGCTAGAAGACTGCAAAACTAAGACTGTGGTAATTTAAACACTTATGCATTTGCATGACTGTTCATGTGAAGACAGCAGAATCGTGAAGCTGTGTTGTGTGCATAATGAGAGGCAAAACCTGAGTAATTTATCCCTACCATATTCTTTCTGCCCAAAAGCTGTGCTCCTGTAATTGTTGACTCTTTTGTCAGTTCTGCATTTACTGTCCAGAAGTTGCTGCAAAGTCTCCCAAGTCATGGGTGTGGGAGCTTTGACCTGTACAAGAGCTGAGTAACGTTTTTGCAGATTCCCCACCAAAATTTATCACAGTTCATATATTTCATGCATTATACTAGGGGCTGTAAATGTGAAATTTGTATTACTGTCTTTTTGGACATTTTTTCTTTCTAGATCATGGAGTCAGCTATGCCATCTCTTCTTTTTCTTCTTCGCATATTTTCTTCTAAGGAGAGGCATAAATTTTTCCCTTCTTGGTGATGGTTGCTGAGTCCATTTTGCATATTCTGGCAAAGTCTAGCATGGTCCAAATTCTAATGTCACTGGTACTTTAATAAGTACAATAAAGTTATGCTAGGCTATGGATTTAAATGAAGAATTGGTCCACAACAATTTCTGAGAATATATGAAGTAACAGTGACCAGCCAGAGATGTATACAAGAGATACCTTGCTCATCTGTGCCTGCAGCTCGATGTCCAGGGACTGCAAAGTACGTGTTAGATCCTTGATCTCATTCTCATTGCGCTGCTGTATCTGTTCGGGATTAGGGGTTGCTGCCAGAGACACAGCTGCGCTCTATGGAGCAAAAGTAAGAGAAAAGCTTGCTGATTCTGGTCAGTCATGAACAGCAACAGGGATCTCTGAAAAGAGCAGAAAATAGCTGTTACCTGTTCTTTGTACCAACTGTCCAGGCTTTGACGATTCTTTTCAATTATGGCTTCATAATCTTCTCTTATTTCTGCTAGAATCTTGGCTAAGTCTTCAGGAGGTGCTGCATTTACTTTTACATTGACTTTGAAGTCTTGTGATGAGCGATTTGCTTCCATATCCTATTCATATATTAGCAGAGGAAACAAGGAAACTTGTTTATGAAAGTGGAAACTTTTCATTCCTGTCTTGTCTTCTTCAGTTCCATCCTCTCACAATTCACAAAATGTTTTTTTCATTGTGGTAGGTTAATTCTTATATATATTCAGTTAACACTATTTGGAAAATTTATATGTGGATAATACCATGATGTGACTTAAACCAGTGCCTTATGCCTGCTTCTGTGGCAGAACTGTGCTAGAGAACTCAATAAAAAACATGTGAGAAGATCTTTTCATATAATGTTTCTGGAAGATATACACTTCATGAAGGAGCACTGACATTTTTTATTTCTTTGTCTATTAGGGATCCAAAAGCTTAGATGAAAATCTAACAGTAATTTCATCTTTCTTACCCTGTATGTTAATATTTATGGAACTATAACTAAGTTTACAGGAGAGTAATGTAAAAGTTCTATGTAATTGTTAAAGGAATAATTGGATTAAAGCATATAATTACTGTGTAAACAACATAATTACGGGGCAAGTCAAGCAGGTATGGTAACATTCCGTTTGGTGTAGCACAATCTTCTGTGCTAGGTACCATTTTCAAAAGCGCCCAGGCAAAGTAGCATTTCAGGGTATGACATCACGGCCTCCAAAATGCAGATGAACTGGACATACTGATGTCTCTGTTGGTTGCCCTGCTTCCAACAACTATTTTATTATAGCTGTTCAATAGTATCCTTGGATCTAAGGATCAGCCCAAGACAGCTTCACCTACTGCTGTGTAACTCTTGTGTTTCCATTCATTTTAATAATCCACAGATACTGAGTAGGATGTTTGGTTCTGCATTAGGTAATAACTGGAAACAACATCACGTCAAGCAAAATGAAAACAGCATGTTGTCAAGCGGTGCTATTATATATGTGGGAGTAACAGAGACCACTGTGGCATAGCTCTGGAAGAATTCAGAGCAGCATGTTTTTTGACAAGTATTATGTAATTATTGTGCTTAGGATTCACAAGAATAAGGAATTTTACTTGACTTCACCAACCATTCTTTTTAATTTTGATCCTTCAAGAATTCAAAGTCTGTTTAGCTCAGGTCAGCCTGCTCTAGGTGACCCTGCTTGAGCTCGGGGGTGGACAGGGTGACCTCAAGAGGTCCCTTCCAACCTCAGCCACTCTCTGCTTCTGTGATTCTGTGAAATGAAATATCCAGAGTTGAGGGAAAAATCTGTGATGAGTAGAACTCAACAGCAACCAGTAACATTTCCTATTTACTTGAAATCCCAGTGTATTTATATCTAACTATTTCTGAGAACACTTCTGTCGAATATGTAAGTTATTATTACCTATGTATGACAGATGGGTAGGTGACTAGAAAAGAGTGGGAGAAAATACAGCAATGTGTTATCCTTTCTGAAATCCCAATTTAATTGGTAAAGTGGTACACAAACTTTGTGCCTCATCTGACTCTCATTAGCTTCTTTAGAAACATGATTACATTCTGAATCATCAATCCCATTTATAGGTTGTGGATCTTAGTCAAAGTTAATTGCATGGTAGCGAAGATTTGTGTGATAGGATTTTACCAAGTGGAACTTTTTCTACCTCCTCATGGCCTTTCCTCCTGAGGATGTGCTCTTCTCTTAAACCCTCAATTTCCATTTCCAGATCTGTTGTAACAATGGTCAGGCCGTCGAGCTCCTTACGCAGGTTCTCAACATCAAGCTGCACTCCCTGCCTGCGAGACTTCTCTGCTTCATACCTTTATGTGGAAAAAGAAGATAAAGCGTGCTTGTTGAGAACAGACTGCTTCTGGCCTCTTGAATAAGTAGGATCAAAGAGAAGAAGACTTGCTTAAGTCCTCTATGTAGGGAACTAGGGAGAACAAAAACCCAAGGAAACAAATTCTGTTCCTAAAATATGCTCCTTGAATATTCTTGAGTAGTCTTAAAAATAAGATGGGTTTCATTACTGCTTTTCTTTCTTCCTCACAACTTCTCCTATATAGTATGAAGTAAGTGCTCTTTCATTTTCTATTTTGCATTTTAACATTCACTGGGTTGTGAAAGCTTTGAGAATATGATTCTCAAAAATTTGCCAATAAAGATGTGAAAACAGTATGAACAATCAAGGCTTTCTGTAGTTTTTCCAAAATGATAACTTTTCAGTCCTTCAGAAAACAGGAAAAATGTCATGGAAGGCAGTTACTAACATTCCTCTCTAACCTCTTGCAGTTTGCCACCTGTAGTGAGCCAAAGTCAGAAAGACACTGCTGTATCTTCCCTTGGGCATATGAAACACTTTTGCTCCTCAGAATCTCTCCCTTTACTTCAATTTTTATGAGCTCTATTGGCGTTTCTACATTCAATCCGTCAGACTCATTCTATGATTCCAGTTTCTCAAAGTAGTTCCACTGTTTCCTTTTTATGACACTACTGAATGATAAAGAAAGGCAGGCAAGGCTAGATAAGGCCTACAGTGTTCACAGTCTTTTAAGTTTGTTACAATATTACCAAAAGCTGAGATTTTTTTTTAATAGCTGCTCATCATCTGTTGAAAATAAGACAAATCTTCATGATTCCTGAGAAGTCTAGCTTACGGAAATGTAAATTCCTTTCCTTTGTAAAGATCTGCCTGGAAGTTTTCTGTCCAAACATTTTGGCTTTTTAGTTGGTCTGAGAACTATCTTTCAACAACGTACTGAAAAATCAAACTGGGTACAGGTAGCCAAGGAAGCACTGGCCCGTTTGCTGTGGCAAAACTTAGGAGACTCCAAAGCAGAAGATACTGAAGGATGGGTATTTCCTGCAAGCTGGATAGAAGAGTTGATAAGTACAGGAAATAGATTTGGGCTGGACTGGGGAAGCGTAGTGCAGAGAAGGATTAATTTGTATTCCCAGATGACAGTTTTAAATGCCTTTTGTCACAAGTATCAAGTGTCTGCTGTAAAACCTGCTCTTCAGGACCTGAACTGAGTATCATCAACAGGGTGACTCAAGATTGTTCAGCAATCAACCGATTTGTGGGTTTTCCATCCTTTTTATCCTTTTTTTTTTTTTCCTGTTCTACATTTGTTTTATTTATCCAGTATCACCCAAAAACCTCCGTAAAATCAGTTTCATATTTGATTATCAAGAAAAAACAATATTTTGCTTAATCCTCTTTCAAACTTAATCAGGAAACCAAAAAAGAGCTTACTTGAGCCTGAAGTCTTCAGATGCCATGTTAGCATTATCAATTTGTAAAAGGATACTGGCATTGGTGATCTTGCCATCCTCAATCTGGAAAACAGAGAATCCAACAGGAGACAGCGTTGCCATGTGGTGATGGTGAATAACCTGTGCTGTTTTAGGCTCCCTGCTCCTTGTAGGAAGCATCCAAGTATTAGAATTCCCATGTTAAGGACAGTACATGAATAAAAGCAGCCTAGTTTCGTGATTCACCTAGATGTTTCTGCAATTTTTGTCCATAATCTTACTTTTCTCTTTGCCTTACTTTTCTGGATGTGAAGCAAGAGGAGTCATCTTATTCCGGGCCAGGTAGAGGATATGAGTAATATTACACAAACTTTGTAGTATATTACAGAATAACGATCACTGTCTTCCTCTTTTTTTTCTTTTTGCGAACTGATTTTGATTCTGTTTAGCATTGCTGGAAAAGCAGCCTTGGTCATCTTTAGGGCAAATTTCAGTAAGAACCATTAAGCTCTGTCTGAGTACAATCAAAATGCTGGAATTAATCATATGCTAAAAAGTAAGCATGTGCATAAACACCTTGCTGAATCAGTGTTGTGATGCAGAGGCATAACAGTGATGGTAGCAGCAACTTAGGAGCAGGACCCCTCGAGTCCACCACGTGCTCCAGTCTGGAGCTGCATGGAATGTCATTTTGAGAATAACACTGGCATCTAGTTGTCATCGTCCATTCAGTTATTCACCTATAACTGTACTGAATTGCCCAGCAGCATGACAATTCAGTGATTAATTCATGTTTCTGATTTTACTTTGGGATGTTGAAAATTGCCCTAAAAGGTGCAAGAGGAAGTGCACTGTGTCATTCATTTAGTGTACTCAGCATGCACTGAAAAGACTAGTAAGTCTCTGTTAACATGAAATAGCTTTGAACTGTAGATCTGAATATCAAAAGCTCAGTATTCCATTCAAAATACTTGAAAGAATTCTAGCAGGCACTCATACATAATTAGCAGGAACAAATAATTGTGGGACATCAAGTCCTTTTCTAACAAAGAGGAAGGAGAAGGAAGCATGGTTGCAGTTCCAACAGCTGCCTTCACTCAACACTTACATAGCAAAACAAGGTGCATTATGGCTGTACAGAAATCATTAGCTATTTACAGAGCTCTCAGCACCTTGAAGTAAAACTTCCCACACCTAAATGAATCACAAAGAAACAATGAAATGACAAAATTGTCTTTAAGTGTCAAAAGTTTACCTCTCATAGTAAAAAAGAAGGTGCCTGTGGAATGTTTTAACTGATCTGTTAACAGACTGTACATTCTTGAGCGATTAGCAGCACACCTCAGATACTGCCCTGGGACATGATCAAGGCCAGCTGAAGAAGTGTAACAATAGCCTAAATGTGTCGCTGCCTGGAATTTGTTGACAGAGAAGAGGCAATTCTTGAATCCATCCTTAGAGAATGGTAAATTTTACTATGGAAAGTAATAAGGCAATGAGAAATCAACATATGAGTTCTTCAACTTTGTGCCATTTCATAATCATGCAACAGAGCAACACATTTATATAAATGCTTTATGACTCTTTCTGTGCAATGTAAACAATTGTCAGTGTTTTGCCAACTGCTGTACGATATTGATTGCTATGCCAGTTAGCAGTGCGTTTCAAATGTAGGCATTTATCTGTTTATAATTATACAGAATTCTTCACTACATCCATCATGAATATGGGTGCATCACTAATACCAATCTGCAATCTTACAGATAACTTAATTAAGAACTCACACGTTATTATATATGAAATACACTCAAATTCCTTCTCAAACCAGATTTTTTTTCAAGAAGGCTTCCTGCACTGACTTCTTCAGCATGTCTTGTGTCCTTTGTCCAACAGCATCGATCCTGTCTCCTTGAATGCTCTGTAAATCAGTTTGCTTATTCAGCGATACAAGATGTTTGAATGAGACATTTACCTAAAGAACTGGTGCTATTTTACTTTGTATCTGGGTTAGAATGGAGTCAGGCTGGACCAAGGCAGTGTGTTGCTCCATCTGGCATGTTCATCCAGAATTCAGGTATCCAGGGAAGAGTGTGGTCCAAACTGTAGGACCCAAATGATGATATGCCTCCCACTTTAGACAGCCAGTATATCATAGACTTTCTGGGTTATTGGATATAGGATCCTAAATGTTGTCTAAATTTCATTTTAGGTGCTAAATTAGTTTCACCTTTTTAATTAATGGTTAATTAATTTAATTATGGTTAATAATTAGATGCTGTATTTTCACTTATTTTACTGGCAGGCATGGTGCTAATTGCAATAATATATAGAGAAAGTAAAAATTCTGGGTTAAATCACTGAATTGCCCCCTGTAAATAATCCTTTAATAGCCCTTCCTCCCCAGTATGAGCACCCCATCCAATACACACTGGCTGAGACAGCCATTAGTCTTAACAGGTGCCTCTAGCCAGTGATAGGTGTTCAAGTGGTGAGTGCTAAAAATAAAGGTTTTGGGTATAACCTGTTCGAAAGTGAGGGCTTTACCCCAATCAGTGTTATGTTTTCAGTCTTATTGTCTTCCTAAATCTTTGTGATTTGTTAGTTCCGAATCAATGGGAACACGTTTATATGCTTGATGAACAAGTTTTTGTCTGTGGATCAGTTAAAAAAAAGTGCTCATGTGGTAGGTCTGGCGACAGATGACCTTTCTTTATCCTTAAAACAGAAATAGGTGATGACAGTTCTGGCTCTCCTTACACATTGCCTGTGGTCAGGGTGCCTCATCCTCTGCCTGGAGGCAATGCATTTAACAGTGAGCAGGGAGTTTGATGCAGTCCCTGGCCTCAATCAGCAAAGATGCGGGATAATACCATTTCCAAGCCCTTTTGAAAAAAAATTCTCAGGGTCTTGAGGATGCCAAATAACCATAGTATAAAAAGTGGAGGGAAAACTACAACATCACATTTGGAATAGCTTTGGGTTTTGCCCCATATGGCTATGTAAAGTTAATTACACTGATTAGTCACACAGATGGTTACAGTGCTAAGTATGTTCATTATGAATACAGATTAATATTATGCTTAAATTTGAAGACACGTGAGTTTGGGAGATTGAAAGAGTTACTGCTGAACGTTAATATTAACTACTGGCAGGAACCAGAAATTCTCCTTTTAATTATAGTGAAAACATCCACAAGGAATTTGTCACTGCTATTTTCTTAATTACAATGAAGTATTTTTCCATCTGATTACATAAGCTCATTGGACCCAAAACTCCTGTCATTTCATTGACTGCTACCACAGGAATCAAAGACATGAAATGCAACAGTATGGCTGAAGACAGTGTGCATGAAAGGCAGTCTCTTCAGTTTGACTGCTTTGTAATTTGCCTGAATACATGTGCAGTCAAAAAGACCAAATTCTGCCAGACATAGTTACTCAAACCGCAGTTTCATGTACGAACACTTGGCAGCATACAAATCTCTTTATACTACCAGTCTTTGCTGAATACCCCTTGTCTCCTTCCAGCCTTTCTTTCTGGTACCCCATTCTCCTCCTCGTCAATACAAAGAACGTTTATGCCCAGGTCCTGTAACCACTTTCATTAGTATTTCCAACATTTAAAAGGTTTTGTTTAACTTTCTTTAAAGGAAAGCCATCAGCATAAATGAGTGCCCAGATTCCTTAAAAGACTGTAGAATGACATAGCCACTTACAGCTCTGACTTACCTGTCTTTGCATGTCAGTGACGTTTTGCTCGTATTGGTTGAAGTCATGCCTCTTTCCGTGAGACTTTGTCTTGTGCCACTCCAGGATGCAGCTTTCCAGCTGAGCATTAGCTGCTTCTAAGGAGCGGACCTTGTCCAGATAGGCAGCCAAACGGTCATTCAGGTTTTGCATAGTCTGTTTCTCATTCCCACCCAGGAAGATGCTTTCCCCATGGTGCTCGCTGAAGCTGAAGCCTCCCCAAGGTGCCTCTCCTCCAGTAGCCAGCCAGAGGGGTCTGGCAGAGCAGAAAGAGGTATGTGTGCTGCTGGCACCACCATCTGCACTTGAAGGTCTGTAAGAAGTTCCTTGCTGGGCCAAACCACACCCTGAACTACCCCTGAGGGACCCACAAAAAACTTGAGAAGGGCCTTGGCTGGTACTCATGTTTAGCTCTGTTGTGAATCTAACCCAATGTTTGACTGGCTAGCACTGAGCAGCTTCTTAGCCTTCCCTAAGCAGCTTTATGCCTTTTCCTGTGGGAGTTTCCCTTCGATGAATGACTACAGCACCAAGATTGTGTCATCATGAAACGTGCTTCCTCTTGGTCAATTCTGAAGCATTTATGAGCCTGCACACACTGTTGTTGTTATTTGGAATCACAGCCACATACCGGATTGCTTTCCTTTTGATTGTTTGGTTTTGTTTTTTTTCTTTTTCTTTTCATATTATAATAGTGAGGTGTGGCTAAAATCAGTAGGTGTGGAGCAGGATCAGCTCTGCCTCAGACTTTTTTCTAACTCTGTAGTTCGTATGTTATGTTTTCCTGCTTATGAAGGAAAAAGTATCGTCCATTACAGAATAAATGGGGAGCTGGGGCAGGGATGGGTCTCTCAAGATACTTTCTTTCCGTTGTAATTCTCAGGCTGTAGAATTACAGCAGTCTGTGAATCCTGAAATGCAGCATGTCCTATCAAGCTGTCATTAACGTACCGAGCAGCTTCAGCCTGTATGAGACATGAGGCTTTAATGAAGTTATCCGACCTCTGCCATTTGACTAAAACTCCAGTCCAAAGTGAGTAAGACCCAGCTATTCCCTTCAGCTGCTCGTTTCCAGGTGACATACATGAGAATTAGGTCCTTAACAATCTTTTCTACTGATTTTTTCATGATTTGAGGTGCAGTCATATTTCAGTAGTCTTGTTGAAATAGCTAGTAATGCAGGAATTTCTTGCTGTTACTAGTATTAATACTATTAAGGTATTTGTTTGTTTAGCTATAGAAAATATTTAGAATATGAGTTTGTAACAACACTCAAAAAATTCAAGTGATTATTTAAAGCTACTAGCCCTAAAAATCGACCTGGCAATCACACAAAAATAGCCTTTCTCAAAAGTTTCAGTAACCTTTTGTTGAACTACTTCTCTCGAATATAGAACGGGCAAGGCTGGCTTCTGCAATGGTTTTCTTATTCCTTATGCTGGCAAGTAGGTGGTAAAGTGTGAGGCGTTCCCATGGCAACAGCTGGGGTTTTTGGGTTTCCCTTGCCTTTCAGAGGAGTTCTAAACCACAACTGAGCGATAGGATGGAGGAAGAAGGTTTGGGAAGAGGTGGAAAGCTGAGCGGGCACGGGCTCACTCAGAAATGGTGCAGCTATTTTTCCTTACAGCAGTCGAAGGCCCAGCTTAACAAGACCTTATTTAGCAGTGTTACTCACTCTGAATGGTGAGGTTGGAGAGACCGTACAAGCCAGGATTACACTATCCTGGAAGAAAACCGAGGGAATCTTTTTTCTCTGTTTGTTTCATCTGAGATTTTTCAGTAATCCCGAATTGCTGCACTCAGTCTTCCCTGGGATGCCTCCTAGGCCTCCTGCTCTGGTTAGGGCAGGTTTTGAGCTCCTCCTTGTGGCTCCCTGTCAGCTCCACTCCGCACCTGCCGACTGTCTTGTTATCAGGTACGGTTCCATTGAGGGCATACTCCTTCTTATTCCTCATGCTGTGTTCATTGTCTAGAAATGCTAACATTTTTAATTGTTTTGGGAAATTAATCATTGAGTATAGGGTTTTCCAGTAAGTACAAGGTATGGCTATCACAAAGTATTCTGATAACAGCTACTCTTAATAACTACAGTTCGGTGTCGGCCCTGCTGCTTGAGCGTGAGAGGTTGAAGCACCAGACAAAAACATGAAGGCCTAACCCAAATTATAATAGAACGAATGATATCCTGCTGTTCAGTTCATCTCACCAGAGATTAATTTCAGACTGAATTTTCTAGCCTGGCAGTTCAGCGAGCTAGCATTCTATGAAATATTACACTGAAATATAAATACGTACATACGTGCAAAACATTACATGAAATCAAATGAATCCTTTGTTTCATGTGAAGTTACTCGGTGAGATTCACAACTTGCCTGTCAGCGAGGCTGACAGTTTGTGAGACAGAATAGCCTTTGTCTTACCCCATGGTAGTTTCATGGAGTATCATGCTGTCATGAAAAACAGGACTGTATTTTTTCTGGCAAGTAATACGAAACAAAGGTGATCTGGCACATAGGAAGCGTTTGCTTTGAAGCTCAGCCTTTTCAAACTGGAAAAGTTGCCACGCAGTTTTCATCAACACATATTGAGGGTCCATGGAAAAGACCAAAAAATTCCCTTCAAAACCAGGCGCGGCTCTCTTGTCAGGCTGGCAGCATGGCGCGGGTTTGTAGCCGGCTGTTTGACCCAGGGGGTGCAGAGTGAAAGCAGCGGTCAGCGGGAGAAAGACGTTGCCAGCAGATGGCGCCATCAGACGGTGACGTCTCTGTTTCCTGCAAACGGCTCTGGCGGCTGGGGAGCTGCCCGGCAGCCCCAAGCCCGTGGGAACGGAGGAATGCGTAGTCCCGAGTTGCTTTCTTTGGGAATCGTGCTTGTTTTACTGAATTGGAACGTGAAAAGCAAACTGAACTGAATTGATAGGCTGCAGTTTAAGTATAGGCAGAGTATTTTGACACCTGCATCGTAGAGGTAAATTATCCCGCCACCATCACTCGATTCATCTCCTCCATCTGACATCCAAGTGGACAGCCTCCTTTGGCTGTAGAACGTCTCTCTCTTGCTGTCTGCACGATATGCGTACTAGTCACTTGATTTCTGGATCAGGAAAAAGTATCATTTGTGCTGTTTGGTTCTTCTTCTCTGGTAGATTGTGATGTTGCTTTGCTGAAGTTTGCAAGAACCTCTTCTCAGTTCTTTCCAGTGAGAATACCCACAGTATCTGTGTTTCTTGACAGTGACATGCCAGTGATCCTGCAGCCTCATGCATGGCTAAACTGTGGCTAAACGACACTGCCAGCAGTGTAGAGGGTTTTTTTTTTTTAAATGTCAGAAAATAGAAGAGAGCAAAATGGTGGCTCTAAGGAGCTTGGAAGGAAAATGAAGTCATAAATCTAGAAATTGTATCTTTTTTGTAGATACTATTGTGTAGATTGAAATATGCGGTGATGAGGCTAACAACAAATTTTCCAAACACGTTATGTTAGCAAAACACAGCATTTATGTAAATGTTTTATATGCTTCTGAAGTTGGGATTTACTCACCTCTGAAATCTCTATAAGTATCTCTCTTCCATTACACTGGTGTAGATTTGCAGACTAACCTCCTGCTGAGAAAAAGCAGTGTTGCTAACACAACAGCTGCAGCAATGGCACAGGCTGGTGAGTTCCTTCCTTATGTGCGAAAACTGAAATAGCCCCAGCAAACTCTGCTTGAACCATTCACCTCACCTGGACCTTGCCTAGTGCTTCCTCAAGAGCAAAGGCAATTTGCCTTTTTGCTGAAGGAAGTGCAGGAACGTAAATATATATATGGAAAAATATTAATTTTTTAAGTGGTGCATTTTATTCGTGTTCTTATAGTTCTATTGTGCACTTTGAATTTGGAACAAAGAGCCTAAGGATTTTTTGTGGTATTAGCTTCAGATTCCTGGGAGAATCTAATGGTGCTTTATATCTATCCGTTCATCGTAATCTTTATTATTATTATTAAAGAAGTTATTGTTATTGTTGTTATCCACTGAGAATCTCTTGCTATGGGTTACAGGAAACACTGTGTTAGGGAGGGTATATGGTCATGTGTATGGCAATGCCATACTGACTTCAAAAAAACAACATTAGACTGGATGTATTTGCACAAGCAGAACAGAAATTTTATTAACGTATTTCTTTTGTGAGGAAACTATGGAGCTACTGACAGAAAACAAGCTTCTCATCTCTGACCCATAGATCCAAATAATCATGCGAAAAGGGACAGCAAGTTTAAGGAAGGACATCAAGCTGTTGCACATTCTTGGATTACATTCTTGTGATTTGGTGAAAATAAAAGGATATTTCTCTTAGCATTAGCCAATGTGTAGACTGCGCTGGGTTTATATGGTGACATATGCAAGAGGGGATCCAGTATTCCTTTATTAGAATCTCCTTTCACGAGTAGAAGCAGATTTTCCATCATCTTCCACGCCCACACGAACTCTTCCACTGCTCAGAGATGCTGTTGTAGGAGTAAAAGAAAAATTCAACTAGGGAAAAAAAATGCACTGCTAACACACTGACGAGCTGTGCTATGGGAATTTTTTTTGTCTCCTCACAAGATCTTTTTCACATATCAAAGGGGGAACTGCCTTTACATCTTCTCTCCCTACTGGTCCTCATCCAGTGAATCTTAAGAGTGCACATCACATGTTGGATTTGGATGTATCTTGTATGGTGTGTGAATCAGCAGAGGAACTTAGGAATCTTTGGGAGATGTAGGTATTTTAGAATCCCATGGGGAGTTCATGCAATCATTTAGGCAAGCTACTGGTTTCAAAAGTGCACATAAGATAAGATAAAGTATTATATTTTTGTCTGTTAATGATAAAGAATGCGGTCATTGTGGAGAGAATGTTATCAGTGTTAGTAAGAAGAAATCTTAAGCAAAAGAGATAGGTTTATTTAATCCTACTTTGTCAATTCACTTCAGGCCCTCTTTAAATCAATAGTTTTCTTACCATCCTTAGGGTTCACTCCTGACATCCTGCAGAAAAGAAGAAGTATTTGATTAATGACCATCACTGACCCTGTCCACTGAAACCATTGATCCATTTAGGAACCACTGCATGTGAATAGCCATGATTTCACACTGCTTCTTTCAATGGGTTGTTTCTCAGGTGTGTTGTTATTAGTGTTATTGTTAGGGTGCTTTCTGCTTTGAAGGCCACTCCTGTGTACTCAGTAGGAAATATGAACAGCAGCCAGACCAGTTCTTGGTCCTGATATGTCTCTATATACTCCTCCTCTTCTCAAAATGTTGTAATCTAGAAACAACATAAGGAGCTGATTCCTCCTCAGAAATCAAAAGTAATCCCATGTGTAGATCAGCTATGAGAAATGGGCACTAAAATGTAGATTTTACTAAAATAAGCTGTGGTCTGTACCAAGTTCTTCTCTAGTTGGGAGGTCTGGTGTATGATGATGAGTATTTTCACTTCTGTGCACAAGTGTAGAAACCCAAGAGCTAAAGAAATACCGAGAATGGGTTTTTATGGGTTATTTCAGGCTGAAGGCTAAGATTGCAGTGCAACAAGAGGACTATGTAAGCCATACATAGGGTGCCTGGTGCCTTCTATAATTCATTGTACTCAAAATGGCTGCATTTATGTTTTCAAATGATCAGCGCAATTGATCTGGAGATGTAGCTTGAGTTATAGCAACACCTGGGATTTTGCTGCACATCTGGTTTGCCAGTACTCAAAAGGCTGCCTATGCAGTGAAAATAATTTAGTAATCTGGAGTCAGTTTAGCAACCACAAATTACTGCTTTACAATATGTCATGTTGTTAACTTTATCTAATCACCATAGGGTTTGTGTATAGTAACGTACTGAGAATCCTGGCCCTCCAGCAACTGGCGGTACGTGGCGATTTCCTGCTCCAGGCGACTTTTGATGTCCATGAGCATTCTGTACTCCTGGTTCTGACGCTCCATGTCGCATCGAAGTTCACTCAATTGCTCCTCAACACTGGTGATGAGGGCCTGAATCTGTGCCAGCTGTGCACAGTATCGTCCTTCTGTATCTCGCAAATTGGCTTCCAGTCCAGCTTTCTAAAGTGGAATAATGTCAGATTAGGCTAACATGCAGATCTGTCCCACAGAGGAGTCGTCTAAGGAGAGGTGAGATAGAGAGGGAGGAGGGGGAGAGTGTACTAGTGGTGACTTGTGATGTGCTTGAGACAGCTCCGTACCATGCTGAGTTGCGACTGGAGCTCAATCTCCAGACCCTGGACCGTGCGTCTCAGTTCCGTGATCTCCGATTTGCCAGTCTGTATCTGTTCTGTATGGGTGGCTACTTCACGGTTCAGCTCATCAGTCTGAAAGAAAAAACACAACTATAAAATCACAGACATACTGTATAAAAAATTTTTCAATTATTTTGGGAAAGGGAGGGCCTGTCCCATCTGCTGAGGCAATAATAATGAGGCAATGCATCAATTTTCTGATTATCGGCGTAACTATACCTGAGTGAAGAACCAGGCCTCGGCATCTTTACGGTTCTTCTCAGCCAGAGCTTCATACTGCTCCCTCATCTCAGAGAGAATTCTGGTCAGGTCGATGCCAGGAGCTGCATCCATTTCCACGTTGACCGTTCCACTTAGCTGATTTGAATACTCTTTCATTTCCTGCATGGGCAGAAGGCAGAGGACACAAAAAATATTAGGCTCTCTCTTCTCATGTACCTTTTGCCATCAACAATCCATGCAGTGGTACACAGTACTTTTATTAAAAAGTATCATAGGTGGAATGTAAAAACGTAGAAACATTTATCAAATTTTATCTCCCATCGCACATGCTTTTCCACTCTCTGTGTTCTCACATACAACACACACATATTTGCATGTAACTTATACATATGTTTTTTTTACTCAGCTTAACTATCTCGTTGACCTGTCACATGCTTATGGATATCAACCTGAAACTAATAGGTCCGAACAATTTGGAATCAGAGAAATGCTTCTCAGGACACACTTTGGATTCTTTTATTACTACAGTTTTCTTCTTACTAAGCTGTAATGTTGTCATTCTGGTTTTTTTGTTTGGATTTCCCCCTCCCCACCCGAGAGGCATAAATTCCAAAGGGAAGTAATTTCCTCTCTGCACTGTTATGGACTCTCACCTCCTCATGGTTCTTCTTGAGGTAGGCCAGCTCCTCCTTCAGTGTTTCAATCTGCATCTCCAGGTCAGCTCTGGACAGAGTCAGCTCATCCAGGACTCTGCGCAGGCCGTTGATGTCGGACTCTACGCTCTGGCGCAGGAACAGCTCATTCTCGTATCTGCAGTTTAAAAAAGAAACAAGCACTGGAATATGTACGAGTTTGTATTCAGTAGAGCTACACAACTATGAAATTTCATATTGAATATACGAGGAACAGTGGGCAGTGAAAATATATATATTGAAAAGAAGTGTAAAGGGAGTAAAAATGTTTTTTTCCAACATCCAGCTGTGACATATGAAAGTACATGCATTGCCATCTCATTTTATTCTTGAGGAGTACATGACATTTCACTTTGCAGAACGTAATGATTATCAGCATCAGTAGAAAAGTTGTCACACAGGACAGTCCATTTGCAGTGTCCTCTCAAATTTTGTGTGAAGGAAAGCAGAGATTGCTCAATTCTGCCTAGGACACTAGAGAAAATACAAACCTGCAGGTACATCACTACAAGATAAATCAGTTGCGCAGGCATCTTTATCATCTTTTCAGCAGTGTCTGATCTACTGCTGAGTCCATGAGCTGGATAAGCCCCAAATTCCTCTTTGTCTTCCTTTTCTAAACTTCAGACTCTTTGGGAGAGAAGTACTGCAACTGAACATCAATCTGTTCATGCCACTCTGTTCCTTTCAAGTGAAAATCCCAAACTATTCCTGTCTTCTTTTCCCCTGTGATTTAGGCTAGTAAAAATAGTTAAAAGCATCACTAAAAAACTAAGGCATGAACTATAATTAATTAATTAATTAATCAGCTCGGTGATCTAGATACTCTGTTCTGTCAGGTTTATATTCCAAACTGATCCTTCATCACATTGATTCTGTTTGCCAGGGTTTTTTCATCAGAAGTTATCAAGGAAAAATACCTATCCATAATTTTGAAATGCGTCCTTCGGTGACTGAAGAACTTTATTTTCTAGATAAAAAGTAACACTAAACTTCAGAAAACTGTTTTCAGAGAGAGAGAGACAAGGAGAGAGAAGACAAACGTGCTCCTGGTAAACTTACTTCAGTCTGAAGTCATCTGCAGCCAGCCTGGCATTGTCAATCTCCAAAATGACTCTGGAATTGTCAATAGTAGCTGCAAGGATCTGGCAGTGAAGAAAAACAGAAGAAGGTTCCTGTGAGTAATGGTGAAATGCCATGGTCCGGAGTTCATAGTAGGTAGTTATCGAGGCTGTAAACCATCAAAGAAGGTAGAAAAAAATGGACCTCTGTTGTGATGTCACTGGTTAAACACGCTTTTTGGACTGCAGTAGCCATTTCAATTTATTATATTGCTCCTGGGTCACACTGTAATTCTTACAGCTTTTATAGAGAAAAACCCAAAATGCTAAGCTCTTTTCTACGTTCTGTATGCAAATCAGAGAGCTGAGATACCTTTGTGTAACACAAATTAGAAACATAATTGGAATATATGTTTGTACAACATCTGATCTTATCTGAAGGTAGGAGAATTATTTTGTTGGCCTTTGAGAACTACCTGTCACATTCTGTACTATTCGAGTACTGAATAAATATATTGATAATTCTAAACACATTTTGCCATGTTTTGCTAACTTTTAGTGCAATCATTTTAATTTCAACAAAGTCACATTTTCAGGATAGCATATTTGGTTTTTAAATTGAGAAAAAGCTACTCTCATCTGCTAGAATGCTCATAACAACAATATATTTGGGGTTGGGGAATTCAATATTTACTTTGTAATTATTTTAGCTCATTTTAAAGAAGTGGGATATGCAGTTCCACAATTCAAATGCATTCTTATAACTCCTCTACATATGAATGTCATACCTTATCTCGGAGATCTTCAATGATCTTGTAATAATTACTGTAGTCCCGGGCTGGGCTGGTGGGTGCCTGCTTCTGATACCAGTCTCGGATTTTAACTTCTAAATCTGAATTTGCCTCTTCCAGTGCTCGTACCTTGTCCAGGTACGAAGCCAGACGGTCATTCAGATTCTGCATAGTTATCTTTTCATTTCCAGAGAGGAGGCCATCACCACCACCAAAACCTCCTCCAAAGCCAGCCCCTCCACCAAAGCCAGCTCCACCACCAAAGCCACAGGCTGCACCACCACCAAAGCCACTGTAGCCTCCTCCATAACTACTGCCAAATCCAGAAGACAAGCCACCACCGTATCCACCTCCTACAGAGGAGACATACCTAGCTGAAGAGATGGAGACACCCCTGCCACCAGATCCTCCATGTATGCTTGGAGCTCGGCAGATTCCTCCTGTTCGGACTGAGGAAAGGCGAGAGCCACTGCTTCCACTACCCCCAAAGCCACCAGCGTAGGTAGAAGAAGAGCTCTGCAAGAAGGAAGTAGCCATAGCTGCAGCACAGGAAGGCGCTAAGGTCAGTTACTCAGCTTGGTGAGGAGAGGAAAGTATATTCCTTTGCTACCCTGGTGCTTCTTTTATATCCTCAAGACAGGGTGTTAGGAGACAAACCCAACCTGCAGCCCTCCCTCCAAAATTTCTCCTCCCTAGAGGTGAGGCCAATTATGATGACATTCCTCACAAACAGAGCTGGCTGTACATCTCAGGGGCTAGGGCTTGGGTTTTCTTTTTTAATTAAACAAACGGGATGATTCAGATGAGTGTTTTTTCTTCAGGCTATAGTTCTGAAACTTGGAGTTTACTTCTCTGACATTTAAGAATGGAAAAACAAAGTGAGTTCAACCACACCCACTTACCCATTTACAGCAATCACCATGGCTATTTTAAGAAAATCAACTTTTTCTAAAAATGAAGTTTAAGTAAAATTCTCCTTTCATGGAAGGATGTACAATCATCAGTTCGTCTCACCATTATTTCTTCTTTGCTATCCATACTATTTCCCATTAAAAATTTGGAATTGAACTTGATATGTTCTTATTCCTGTTCTTTGCTTGGAGCTTATATTTAGATTTTGGAGTCTGAATTTTTAGTACAAAAAGCATATAATCATAGCATTGCATGAGGAACAATTAGCGTCCATCAACGGACAAGGAACAGTGGGCACAGTTAATTTACTAATACTTGTGAAATAGTCAAGAACAGTAATACAAGATGGAAGGAATTCAATTAAAAGAAGTGTGGGAGGACTAAGTTCCTGTTACTTTTGGAAAACGTAAACAAATTGGGTTTAAGATGAAACTGTTCAGATAGCAATAAATGTGTTTAATGCCAATATGCACTACAAAATGACGTAATTCTTGAAAATAAGATTTGAGAAGCACTTAGAAGGGTCATCTTAATCCTTCATTGAAAGTGGGAGTCTGAAACACCGGTATATTTCAGATCTAATGATTTACTAGTGAAATTCAAAAGGCAGTAAGTCAGTAAAACAGCTCTGTTCAATACTGCATAATTATGGGAAAACAGATTTGGGAGGTTTTAAAGGAAGTATTAATGGCGTGTTTACCTTGCTGGGGTGTGTCACTGGGGATAATGTGTGTGTGGAGAGTGTGGCAATAGTGTGGAGTTTGAAGAAAGAGCCCCATTCTCTTTGCACAGCAATGTGACATTCTTCAGATGAAAGCTCCAAGTTGCAGTTGAAGAGGTAGGGGTATGGTAAGACAATAAATTGGTACTGAGGTGCATAGTGGTTTAAGGAAACTGGGGGTTGAGAGGAGGGAGAAAAGCAGGGACGAAGTGACGATGGGAGGAACTTTCTCTGGTCTCTAGTTTGAAACCACCAAAATTATTTTAAAACAAAACTTTGAAATAAAGAAGAAAAATGGTATGTTTGCTAACAACGTAATAAGGAGAGTGTTGGTTTTAGCACAGTTTTTGATTGTACATATCAACAGAAAATGAGCTTAGAATTCAGGATGGGTGATTTCAGATAAACTGAGGCTTATACCAGTTGTTGGAATAAACTGAGGGGTTTTCTGAAATTTACAGTTGAGACTTCAATGCAGCCTCAGGGAAGTATGCAGCCTTTTTACTAGGAGAAGATACGTGCTTGGGAGGAAAGAATCATCAACAATCTAGCTGTGATACGCAGCTTAACAGCCTGGTTCTGAGAATGTCCACTCATTCTTCAGCTGATTAGAAAAGACAGGGTATTTCGCAGTTGTGGAAACATGTTTCAAACTGAACCTGGACCTTTGCCACAGCAGTTCAGCTTTGCTGTTGGGCAGATTAATGGTTCTGCATAGCTTGCCAAATCTGTGTATCTCCAAGAGTTAGTATCTCAGGAAACAAGTTTAAACAAAGTCTCCTAAAGACAAATAAGTTTCTTTAAGACCCCGGTAATGTAAATATCCTGAGGTGTGCATGCTGCTAGGGTCTATTTAGCTCTGAGTGATCCCATAATAAGGAAGATCAAGTTCCATTTAAAAAAAAAAAAATATCTAGCAAAATCACTTCTAGAAAACACCATAAACTTTAACAGGAAACTTTGGGGATTTTTCATTCGATCTTCTTTCACTCTGTCTTTATAACTTCTTTAGAAGCTTGCTGGTGAAATACACTTTGCCACTTTTTAAAGTGCCCTGTGCGTTATTCTAGATTGTTATCAGATGAACACTTGTAAAAACCAGGTAGCAGATATACAGCTCTTTCTTTCCTGTAGAATATTTATCATTGGGAAAAATAAAAATAAATCAAGCAGCCAATACAGATTATGTCCTATAATGTGATTCAGAAAACCATAGTGGTGGGGATTCTGTGGCTTTTTCAATTTTCTGTAAACCGTCAAACTTAGATCCTTAGGGTGTGTCCCGCACGGTCAAAAGCTTGTAAATGCAGAGTGCAGCACTTGCAGACCTGAGGCTTATCGCTGCGTTCCTCATCTTCACTATTTGTTCTTGCATATTAAACAACTACTTCTAAATAGTTCCTAATATCTTACTAGAAATTGTCAGTAGTATTTTCAAACCAAAGGAGAATCCAAGGAAAGGTGCCTCAACGAAGCACTGTGAAGTTTGGAGGTGGTCGGTTATGGATCGTTTATTTGCAGCTTGCTTCAGTTGCTGTGCTTCACAGGTATTTTCCTAAAGAGAAAAACTGATCATTTTCGAGAGCTTACGTATGAACATTGGCTCTTCTGGTGAAACAGAAATGGTAAATATATCTGTACCTGGACACTGAGAGCAGACTGCTGGCAAATACTTGCGTGTATTCAGAATTCACTCACTCATTTATTTATACAGATTTTGTTGTTTTATTGCTGTCTCCAGGTTGAAGAGTTCTATATCAAAACCTACATGCATTATAGCATTTTACAACAGACTATGTAAGGCAAAGCTTACTTCAGTGAAAAATTAGACACAATTTGGTATTTACATTGGTAGAAGTTTAGAAATCAAAAGTGTTTTGATGAAACTAATTTCATATCTGATTTTGAACAAGTATGTGAAAATCATCAGTCTTTAGCTAAGTTCTAGGTCTATGTGTAATTCTATGTACAGTCATATTCTTATTTTCGATTATTATTTCTGCATTTTAACTATGTTCTATCCATAATTTTTTTTAAAAGTTCAAGTTACATTTCTCTAAATTCATGAGGCTTGGAATACTTCCAGATTCATAACCTCTTAGGACTTTAAAGGAACATCTCAACCCGGTGCTGTCTCTGTACTGGTGGAGATCTGTGTTCCTCTGTTCGTTCTTCATTTAGCTCTTTTCTGCAGCTGGAACATGAACTTCAATCTACAAAATCTTCTCCTTATAGTCTATAGAAGGAAAGTGAAGCCGATCACCTGCTGAAGTAAATAAAAAAGCTATTTCAAGCTTCTGTCTTTATTCTGTTCTCACTGTCTTCACTCTAAGATTTCTTATCCAATGTCTTGACACACAGTTTCATCCTTTGCACAGTACCCAGCATTGTACTTGTGGGGCATAAGCTCCTTGCTTTGTCATGCTTCCACAGAGCTTTCCTGGAAGACATTCCCTGACATGTCTATGCTGTGCAAACTCTTTTTATTTCTTCTGTTACGGGATTAAGGGAGTTGACACACTTTAGCCTCTCCTTTCAGGAGGAGGACAGAGAGTTGCATTCAAGAAGCAGCTTGTTTATCATCTCAGTCTTTGCTGATAAAGCCATCACTCAGACATTACATACTTTTAGAAAACACTTTTTTTCAGAACCAAACTCTAAAATTATAGTCTCTGAGTGATTTTATATTAAAATTTCACCAGAAATCCCTCATTACCCTACAAATATTGGACAAAATCAGTAAAATCATAAACTAAACTTAAAATTAGGCTATAAAACCAATATTCTTTCCAGTCTCTGAAGCCTCCAGTTTCTTTAGCAGGGTTTATGATTTTTTCAGTTCTTGGCACTTTGAACCTCTTAAACACTTTTAAACTGTTAACCTTTTAAATATCTTTTTTTCTAAATATGCATTTAATTCAGTCTTTGGAAATAAAACTTTTTGGTCAAAATATGCATTTGCAAAGTGAATTTATAAATTATAGTTTGCATTTCTTGTCACTTTCACATTTACAGCTATACAACACAAGAAATCTGCACCAGTAATCTCATACTCCAACTGGTTTTGTCACAAGAACTTGCTCTCAGGGAACAGGATTTGTTAAGATTAAAAACCAGACCTGGAGTTGTTCTTTCATCAGGAAGGGATTTCAGGTCTAACTGTTGTAGGGCATACATTTGGTACAAGGCATTTATTAGAAGGTGTGTCAGCACTCAGGAACAGCCTGTACTGAAGCATTTAATGCACAAGAGCTGTCTTCTCCTTGCTCTTCCAAAAGCGGACGCTGTATAAAAGGGTGAGCTTCTGAAGAACCGCTTGCATCTCGTGTATGCCAGTGCTTTTCATGCCACTGCGCCCTTTCGATTCTGCACTTGTTTCCACCAGAGCACCTTAGTCCCCCTGTTCTTCCCATCTTGCCCGCTCCTCTCTCTCTCTCTCTCTCTGTCTTTGCTGGTTCTTGCTTTTCGTGTCTGTTCTTTCCTGTCACAGTGTTTCCATGTCATAGTGAAGCCACCGCCTAATGCTATCATGCTGGATTTCCAGAGGCTAAGCTGGGATTGGCTTTGTCAGTACATGACAACTGATGTTGACAGGTCACCTGAGTCACACACACAACCCAAGCACCAGCGCCTCTTGACTGAAGAGGATTGCCTAGCCTTGACAGAGGAGGCCCATAGCTTTGGGATGCTCCTTGCTATGCGAACACTCCATGAATCTGTTATGAACATCTAGTCATGAACAAAGGTGAAATAATTATTCCCTCCCAAGTCCAAGGAGAGAGATGCTGAAGGATTTCATGATGTCTCCCTGAAACACAGGCTGCAAGATGACCCACTCTGGGGGAGCGCAGTATTGGGGTACTTTTAGTCTGGGCATACTGCTGTTTCAATGTCACCCTCAGCT